TTTTAGAATCTAGCCCTCGAAGCCAGTATTCTGTACATTATTTTTTCTCATGTAGGCAAATCGGAAAGTCCCCAACAGCTATTAGTTACTTTGAAGCTTTCTCCATGCCTCTGCTTCGTTTTACCTATTTTATGATCTTCTCCTTAAGTATGTGTTAGTCTTCTTCTCTATCCACAACTCATGTCATACTTGGAAATATGAAACACATTTAAAGTGACTCTTTTTGTTGTTCTCTTTCTCTCTCTCCTCAAATACAAGCACATGGGCAGCACAACAAAAAGGCACCAGCTTCCTCTCCCTCTTTTCAGTAGAAGGTTCAAATAGAACTAGGCACGCTAAGGGGAGGGAGAGACGATTTTGGGTAATTAATTTGTGAGCTAGAGGGAGAAAGAGAGCATTTTGGGCCAAGGATATCGGAACTAAGATCGATGAATGCTTTGGGTGTTGGGTTCAGGAACGCATATGAGAAAGCAAAAAAAGGATGAATTTCATTTCTCAAAAGAAAAGTTAAAAAAACTCTTATACACATTAATATGGTGTATCTAAAATGTATAGGATCATTCCCATTTTTTTTATTCTCAACTTACCTTCGTCTGGACACCCAATGTTAGAACTCTATCCTTTCTTTTGTAATAGATTTAATATTCTCAATAAAAATACAATTTAGATATTGGATAGCTTAAATTTTTCTTTTATAACGGGACTGTTGAAAAATTGGATGTTTGAACCAGTCTTTCACTCCAAAATATTTACTAATGGGAGGGTTCAATTGCTGAATATTTGAACTTGGCCATTTGACTCTTTTTCTCTCAATGAAAGACCATCATTGGATATCCAAGCTAGCCTAGTTGCAAAAAAGTCCACATGTATCACCTCTATTTTTTAAAAAAAACTCACAAAAATACTATTTTAATGAATTTTTAGTTATTTTCTGAGGATAAAACCAACTGATCCTCGATTCTCCAATCTGAATAACCGATCTGACATGGTTTTTGGAGTGATCGATTCATGTTACCGATCCGTTCTTTTAAACATTGCTTTTGTAAACCATTGTCATGCCTTCCAAAGTGCTTCAATTACAAGATGCTTAAATTAGCAAATTTTTTGTCACTTGTTAATTTTTTTAATTAAAGTAGCTTCTCTAGAAATTTAATAAAAATACTCAAATTGCTATTATTCTATGTTGTATAAGGCATTTTTTTTTTGAATTTGTTTGAATTATCACTTATACTAAATGACTTAAATACCTTGGTTTCAACTTCGGAACCCAAGGCATTTTTTTTTGTCAGGTGTGGTTTATATAAGGTTGTAACTTTAAAATTCAATTAAGGCGCACCTCTAAATTTTATCATAATGCAATTTTTTACATAAAAAATTCTTAGGATGACTTGAGAATTTATTTTTATCTCTAATTATAAAAATTTTAACACTAAAAATGGTTCAAATCAAGTAGATGTATAAACACATGAAAATCTTGAAAATAGACAGTCCATATAATGTTTTGTAAAATACACTATTTCATGGACTCCAAATCTTTTTTTTTTTTCATATTCATATATCTGATGTCAAGATGATCAATTAGAAGTTTTTCCAATATCCAAACAACTTTTTATGATGAGTTTTTTAGGTGCATCTTTAATTCTACATTTTAAGGGTGCAACCTTATATAAACATTTCATTTTTTGTCTTTAAAAAACAATATTATGAGTCGAAACCTCATGCAGGAGAGAGGCGTTTTAGTAATCTGCTCAAGCCAGATATGTAAATACCCATTTTCGCTCTCAGCTCAAAATCCGAAACAATTTTTTTTTAAGGCAAACACGTGTTGCGGGGTCGAACTCAGACCATCACAGGGATTTAGGTCATTTGACTAGAGTGAATTCAATAACTAAATTACCAATTCATCCTCACTGGTCTAGGACCCATAACTAGAATGAGGACAATTTGGACCCTTTTTATCAAAATAGTTGCAGGGGTACCTAAGATTTTTTAGATTGTTTGACTTTTTTTATTTATATTTCCGTATAAATTGTTGTTTGTTATGCAACCTAATCAGTTTACAAAAGTAAAAAAATTTTATATATCAAAGTTGTTAAAGAAATATTACATCAAAGTTGTTAGCATCTCAAAGGTGGATTTTTTTTATTGTGGCATGATTTTAGTATATTCTTATTTTTAGTGCTTGACAAACTAGATTTGTATGGAAATACTTATATTCTTGACCTCTCTCTCTCTAGAAATGCTGATATTATTGTATTCTCATATAACCATGTCTCTCTCTCTAGAAATGCTTATATTGCTGTCTCTCTCTCTCTCTCTGAATTTAATGGAAGTGGGCAACTTAGCATCCACTTACCTACAATTACTATCACTAGTTTAATATTATTCTCCATTGAACCTTTTGTAAGAATAATACCCTCTCCTTTCATTTCAGTCTAGGAGAATCTCTCCAATCTCGAAAGCACATTCTTTGAATGGAAACTTCGATTTTCCTCCTTCATATTCTTCGACTTTGCCAATTCATAAAGGGCATGAACAAGAGAAAAATTGCAAAGAATAGAGAGTAGCATCTTGGAAGTGATTTATAATATCAACTCCACATAATAAAAACCAAAATTAACGAATAATTCCTTCCCATTTGGTAGAGACTATTCCATAATCTAATCTCATAAAGAGAAAAGGGATGAGAAAGGAGCCGAGGTTGAAGTGGTAGCACGTCTTATACCTGCATATTTGTGCCGTCCAATCCCACTGACACCTTATAAAACCACTAGCTATTTGAAAAAAAAATTAAGGACCTGTCATCCGTACTGAATTACCCAAAAAATAAAAAGAGAAGGATATGGAGAGAGGAGAAAAGAGTACGACAAACAATACAACTAGAGGCAATCTTGGATGTCCTATTTATTTTCCTTAGCCTCCTTTTATGTTGGTAACTCTTGAATCCCAAAGAGAAACCTTGGGGACTGATTTAGTTTTCTATTTGTGAGGATGTGAATCCTTAATTTGGGAAACCTATATCTTCCCATATGAAAACTTACTCTAGGGTAGAAGATCGAGATTGGATGTAGCTCTTGCTTATAGTTCTTTGAGCCCATATGATGCCAGTGTATATGTGACATTTGTGTACCCTATTTGGGTCAGGGTGGATTTACCTTTGGAGAGAGGCTAGAGCCTCCTGCACAGAAGAGCCTCTAGAGAGATAAGTGGGCTTCGAGTGAGAGATTCAATGTACATATGCCTCATATGAAGAGAAAAAAATGTTCTAATAGAGAAGTGATTCTCATAGAGATTTGGACGGTAACCTTTTTATAAAGTGAAAGTCAGTTTTGTGTTGCTCTCGCATATTTATGAAGTTTAGCCATAGTTGTTACAGTATAAAGAAGGAAGATCGATGAGTGATCTTGGTCAAGAGAGTTGTTTAAAGAGTTGCTCGCTTGGGTATTGAAAATGGTTAGAGAGATACTTTTTGTATCTAGAAATATATATCATCAAAATATTGTATTTTCGAGTTACCGTACTTTTAAGTGGGTCATTAGTCATTACTACCCTATATTTTTTTCTTTTCTGTATTTGTTCTTCATATCTCTTTTATTTTATTTTTTATTTTTATGAGAAACAAAGCAAAAAAATCATGTCAACTTGTTCATTTTTCATTTTTCAATATTCACTTGTCATGCCTCATACACGAAGGAAATGTCCCCATTGCATTTTAGTTGCGTGAAAATGTTAAGGGCCAGTTTGATAACTTGAAATTAGAAGTTCTCTAGAAAGAGGAATTTCCAAACTTCTTGAAGTTTGATATTTTGATGTCTGGAACACAAATATTGCATTTGATGACCTCTCCAGAAATCTAGAAAGTCTGGAAGCTTGAACTTGGGATCTTGGAGAATGGGAGATCGTAAAATTAACTAGCTTTAACTGTTCATTAAAGTCCTTATCATTAGGGGGTCATATTTGTTCAATAACTGATATTTTAAAATCATAAGCCATCAACGGTATGTCTAAGAAAATGCACGGTTTACATCACATAAAAAAGAAAATAGTGTGTTTGTAGGTCCCACAAGATAGATGGTTGAGAGCATGTCTGATTATCTCAAATTTATTTTATCTTTTCAGTACATCGGATCGAGCTAAGGTTTTAGGCATCTATATTTATCACCTTCATACACCTATAAAAATTATAAAAGATATTTTAAAATAAATTGGCCAAAATATCCCCTAAACCCTTGAGGTGTATTTT